ATCTATTATAAACAGGCTAATTCTAGAAGATTTTTCTTGTTACAGATAAACAGGCTACAGTTAGATCAGAGAAAGAGAACACTCCATCAAAGGGAAGAATACAGGACACAGTTTCAGGAATACAGAAGTCTCCCATGGTGTCAGGCTGCCAGGCTCTTCAGATTTTCATATTTGTGCTCATTCAAAGGTAGCGATATATTGCTCATCTCCATGGGAAATGCTCCTCTACTTGTTCTTAAAAACTTCCTACGTGCAGATCCAGAAAGTTTTTGAGGCTTTTACAGAAGTGCTGCCTAGAGTGTGTCACTTTCACACGCCCCCATCTTTCAAATGTGAACTGATGAGCAGAGTGCTTTGGGTACGGAGCGTCTCCTTGAGTATGGATTAGAGCTAATTTAAACACACACTTGCATATCATAATATCAATGCTGAAGCGCATGAAGTTTCAGACAGTATTAAAACACAGTAACTATGTTCCTAAGCAACTTTCAAATTATGATTCCATTAAAGAACAATCATTTCAAAGAGAAAATAGAAGTTAGAGGGTAGTGAGATTCAGACTAGGAATAACAGGAATCTCTTGCAGATATTCCTACACAAGGTATTTTCTTTAACACATATAAAATTCTTTTTCTTATCTTCAGGCTGTCATTGACAAACATTGGGTACATTTTAGAGGTCCATGCTTTGCTGTATGAATAATTCATGCCATTGTTTCCCCAGCCAAGCTAATTAACCTATTCATCATTTCACATAGTTATTTTTTTGTTTTGGTGGGAACTTTTAAGGTCTCTCTTAGCAAATTTCAAGTGTATGTTGACTATGGTTGCCACACTGTACATTTGATTTCCAGAACTTCAATAAATTGTATATGGAAGTCTTTCCCTTTGGACTACAGCCTCCCATCTCCCCACCACAGCACAACTGCTGCTCTATGATTTCTATTAGTTCATCATTTTCAGACACCACTTCTTAGGTTTTGATTTAAGAGATACCCGGCATTATTTGTCCATGTTTGGCTGAATTTACTTCATATAGTATCCTCTAGGTTCATCTGTGTAATTAGCAATGATAAGATTTCCTTCTTTTCACAGGCAAAATATTCCTTTATGTCTGTGTATTGCATTTGTTAAGATTCCCTCATCCATCAGTGCATTCTTAGATTATTTTTATATTTCAGCTTTTGTGCATAATGCAATCATGAATATGGGAGTACAGATATCTTTTTGAGAATTCATTCCATTCCTCTTGGATACAGCTACAATTAGGATTTTTGACAGCTTAATTGTTAGTTTTGCAGGAAGGGGAGAACATCATACTGCTTTCCATAATAACTGAACTAATTAACAATCCCAAGAATACTGTGTAGGGGTCCTTTTCCTCTATATGATTTTAAATATTTATTTCTTGATTTTAAAAAATAGTCATCCTACTGTGTGTGAGAAGATATCTTGTGATTTTGATTTGTATTTCCCCAAGGACTCATACTGAACCCTTTTACATGTCTGCTGGCCATCTGTATGTTGTATTTGGGACAGTGTCTATTCAAGTCTTTTACCCATTTTTAATCTGGTTGGGTATTTTTTATTGAGTTATATGAATTTCTTATGAATTTTGCAAATTAATCTATTATCAAATATGTACAGCAGTTTGCAACTATCTCCCACTTTGTAGGTTGCTTTTTCATTTCACTGATTGTTTCTTTTTCTGGGAAAAATGTTTTGCTTTGATGTGGGAACACTTGTTTGTTTTTGCTGTTGTGACTACTACTTTTGTTTATCCAAAAAAATCACTGCTGAGTCCAGTGTCAAAGAGGTTTTTTCCCTATATTTTCTTCTACCTTTTGTTTTAATTTTATGAAAAAAAACCTTCATAGTCAAATAAGAAAATAACAATAGTTATTACTGCATGTGTTGTTGTTTTCAAGGTAGTTATTTATACAAGACATAAACCAAAAGCATTCTCACAAAAAGAAAAAAAAGATAATACAAATGTTTCTTTTCAATAAAGTAGTAAAACAAAATCAATTAGCATGTATGTTGAAATATTTTTAAAACAATGGAATTCTTAGTTTGGGGAAATATAAATTAGGTCTTATATTTAAGATTTTTAACACATTGTGAGTTGATTTTTATAAATGGTGTAAGATAAGTTTGTAATATCATTCTTTTACAATTTTGCAATGCATTTTTCTTAGCATTTCCTGAAGAAATTATCCTTACTCCATTGTGTATTCTTGTTGTCTTTGTCAAAGGTTAATTGACTATGTCTGGTTTTTTTCTGGGCTGTTTTGTTCCTTTGGTCTGTTTCAGTTTTTATGCCAATTTTACACTACTTTTATTGCTCAAGTTGTATAATATAGTTTAAAATCCAGTAGTAATACCATCAGCTTTGTTCAAAATTTGTCTTGAATATTTGGGCGTCACTTTTATTTACATATGAATATTTATGGCTGCCATTTCTCTTTCTATGAAAACTACAATTGATATATCAATAAGTTGCACTGATTTTTAGTGTTTTGGATAATATGGACAATTTAATAATATTCTCCCAGTCTATGAACATGGTACATCTTTTAATCTCGCTATGATACATTTTAATGTCTTTCATCAATGTTTTATACTTTTCACTGTACAGATCTTTTACTTCCTTTATTAAATTTATTCCTACATAAGTTATTCTGTTTGCTACTATTATAAATGAAATTAGTTTTCTTGATTTTGCTTTCAAGCAATCCATTGTTAGAGCATAGAAACACAACTAACTTTTGTATTTTGATTTTCTAATCTTCAATTTTAATAATTTGATTAGTTCAGATAACTTTTTAGTGAAGCCTTGAGATTATGTATGTATGTATGAATATTTTGCAGTACTGAGAGAGAACTTAAGCCTTTCACACTGAGCTGTATCCTCAATCCTTTTTATTTACTTATCTTTTTACTTATTTTCTCTTTTTTTATGTTTTAGCTATTTCTAGCCAAGGAATTGACTGTTATATTTTTAAAGTTCAAATGGCCAGCAGACCATAAAATGATACCACATTAGTTCCCCACTTGCAACCAACATCTTTAGGAAACTTCTAGCCTTGATTCATGACCAGTGTACTTACTTATATAAATTCTTAGTCTCACTACTTTGCCCAAAGCTGGACTCAAACTTGATGATGTTCTTACCTCAGATTCCCAAAATGTTACAATGCCCTGCTGAAATCTTTAGAGTTTCTATATCGATGATCCTGAGATCTGCAAACATAGACAATTTTATTTCTTCTCTTCTGATTTGTAAGCTTTTTCTTTTTCTTCCCTGAGTGCTGTGGCTAGCACTTCTAGTACTGTGTTGAATAGAAGTGGTGAGAGCAGGAGTCCTCATCTTGTCCTGATCTTGGAGGAAAAACTTTCAGCTCTTTCCCATTCAGTATGATCATAGGTACAGAGTGGTAATGTACAGATTTTATGATGTGGAAAGACATTCTATATCTAATTTACTGAGTCTGTTTTACTTAAGAAAGGATTTTGAAAGTAGTCAGATGCTTTTCCTGTATCTGTTGAGAGGGTCCTATAGTTTTGTCTTCATTTTGTTATTGTGACATATCACATCTACAGATCTGCATATGTTGAACTGTCCTCACATCCCTGGGAGAAATCCTGCTTCATCATGGTGGATGATCCTTCTAATGTACAACTAAATTTAGTGATATTTTGTCATGGGATTTCAGGATCTATGTTCATTAGAGATATTACTTGATACATTTCTTCTATATCTTTGAATGACCTTGGTATCTGCATAATACTGGCCTTTTTCTAGTGACTTTGAAAATGTTCTCTCTGCTTTGATTTTGATTTTGACAAGGATTGATGTTAACTTTTCATTAAATGCTTGGCAGCTGCTTAGGCAAATGCAGGAGCTGGGGGTTTGATCCCCAGCCTGCCATGCCAGTCTCCCCCAGGGCACATTGAGACAGCGAATGAGACTGGGCACGGTGCCATGTGCCTGCAATCCCAGCACTTGGGAGGCTGAAAAACAGGAAGGATCCATATGAGTCCAATCTGTGTAGTGAGACCCTGTAAACCCTGTACTAAATACATAAATGTTTGGCAGAATCTTCCAGTGAATTCATCTGGACTTTTCTTTGTCAGAAGATATTTGGTGGTTTAGTGATATAATCTCCATGCTTGTTGTTGGTTCATTCATATTTTCTATTTGTTCATGAGTGAGTCTTAGTATGGTCTATATTTCTAAAAATGTGTTTCTTTCTTCTGAACTATTCAATATGTGGGCATGGGTTTATCATGGTTTGTGAAAGTCCTTTTTTTCTTTTCACCTATGAGTTTTTTTCTAAATCTATTTTTGTCAACTTTGTTTTTCTTTTCAAAATGCAAAGTTAGTTTTATTGAACTTTTAAATTATTTTTTGGTCTTGATTTTGCTAATTTTGCACTGATCTTCTATGTTTTTCTTCTATAAAATCTATGCATAGTTCTTTTACTAGTTGCTTAAAGTGTAAAGTTATATTACTTGAGTTTTTTTTCCCTAATATACATGTTTATTGCTCTAAAGTTCCCTCTTAAGAAAGTTTTGGCTGCATCTCATGTGTTTTTCTTTTCTTTTTCTTTTTTTCTGCTGATTTCTGCTGGTGTGTTGAAAGGAACAGGTAATGCTTAATTTTTTTCTCCTTTTAATTTTTTAATATTTTTTCACCAATTTTGTATGCTTACATCTGGTCGTCTGAACAACTGATTTGAAGACAACAATATGCAATATAACCACCATTGTTGAATTCCTAAAAAATTATATTTCAATGTATATGCTAGTCGGTTTCATTCATGCTACTAGTTTATCTTAGTTCGTTGAAAAGAAATATCTGTGGTATGTGTTTCTTTTCATAAGAATCTTTTTAAGTTTGTGTCTTGTATGCTAGTAACTATTTTGAGGATGACCATACAGCATGTAATAACTATTGTTATTCTCTTATTTGATCATGAGAACTTTTATATTTTCATAAAATAAAAAGCTTTAGAAAAATGACTGGGGAATTACATCATAGGTAGAGTGCTTCTGGATTCAATCACTAGTAACATACATCACACACACACACACACACACACACACACACACAAACACACACACACACTCCAAGAACCATATTCATAAAGTAAAAAGAAACAGGTGTCTCTCAGGTAGTTCTTACAATCTATTTCACTTTAATCTGTAACATATCATTTCCATATGTAATCTATACAAAATTACATATTTAAAATTTTAAGAATGAAATGTTCAGGGGGCTGGCAAGATAGCTCAGTGGTCTAAAGTGCCTGCTTAGGAAAGCATAGGTAAGCAGGGACCATGGTTCAATCCCTAACACCACCTGCCATGCCAGCCCCACCCTCAGGGTGGGCTATGTCAGCCACAAGGAAAAAGGAAGAATTAAATGTTCAAAGTCTTGTATGCATCTAACATTTTATGACAAATTTCTTTTTGGGATGGCCATACTGTAAGCTAAGTAGATACTGGCTAACACAGAACATAGACTAGCCTGACCCTACCACGACCCCTTATGCTTGTGTCAACCTCATCATTCAGTCTTCCTTGCTGTGTAGTTTGAATGCTATGTTTCCCCACAACTCACATAGTAAGATCTTGAAGACGTTGTCTACCTTTAAGGGTTCCATCTTCATGGTCGGGACTAGTGCCCTCATGAGAGACTTGGGAGAGCTGTAGTGAACACTCCTCTGGTTTGGAAAGTTTTGTCTTGATTTTGATATGAAACTATAACACTATGTGAGGCTCCAGGTACCTGGTGTGAACCAGGAACAGGCCTTCCCATTCACCACCTCTGCCAGCACCTAAATCTTAGACTGACTAATATTTGTAGTATATTTTCTTATAGCAGCCTGAAGTAACTGAGTCACATCTCATAATTATGTGTTTCATATTTTAATCAACACTTTTTTGGAAATTCCTTTGCTTATTTCAGTCTTAGATTTTATAACTTTCCAGTGTCATCTCAAAAGGGAAACAAAAGTTTTCCACCCAAAGGTGTGTTCACTCATGTAATCTTATTCTGCCATACATTGTAATGTATAAACATACACCATCCTCTTTATCTTTAGAGAATGTGCTGAAACTTAATTTTGTTCTTGTCTCACCCCAAAGATTCCTTGCATGTATAGGTACTCAGTAAGAACTTGCTTTAAGTGGATGGTGTTGAATTCCCTACAAAGGAAGGTAAGCTGTCTATTGAAAATGAAACAACTAATAGCCAATTACACATTTGCAAATCAAGTTGTTTTCTACTCAGGGAATCCAGAACACTGCTATCCTCATTACACTATACCCAAAGCAGCAGTTAACTATGAAAATTGCTCACACAGTATGTTAATTCATGAAGATCCTTGTAGTAAATTATTATATTTTTACTTTGTAATGATCATGTTAGTATTGTATAAGGCTCACACCTTCCTCTTTTGGTGTATTGTCCATTAACTTGGTTAGAATACCCTGTCATTTCTTAAATTGCATTTTAGTCTTTATCAAGCACTAAGGATTACTGAAAAGGGTGGAAAGAAAGCATGTCTATTTTGAATAAATGCTTACAAAGTGGCAAAATCTTTGGGTACCATTGTATTTGAAAAGAGAAATAAGGGCTGGGAGATCACGTGGCAGTCTAAGTGCCTGTCTGGCAAGCACAAGGACCCAGGTTTGATCCTTGGTACTGCAGGCCCTGCCACCTGGAACACCGGATGCACTATGCCAGCCACTGAAACTGGGTGTGGTGATGCACACCTGTAATCCCAGTGCTGGGGAGTCTGAGGCAAGAGGATCACTACAAGTCTGAGCTGCATGGCAAGACCTGTGCCAGATGCATACAAACATACATACATACATACATACATACGTAAATACATACAAAACAGAAATGAGGCATCCTTGATAGAGTAGTAAAGCAGCACTGGAATGGAAGACTTCCTCTTTCTGAGTTCTGCTTGTTTCTGTAACCTGGAAGTGTGGAAAAGGCACCAACTTGCCTGTCTGCTATGAGTTCTAGAGGTGTATTTAAGGCTAGGCCACTTTGTGTTGCTAACTCCATAATGCTACACACTGACTGATGAAAAGTTCATTTTGACTTACAGTTGTGGAGCCTGAAGTCTCAAAAGGTGGTACAGGCTCTTTCAAGGACAGATCTTGTGAATGGCCATAGCCAGAGCACTTGTGAGAGAGATCCCGTGCCAGACAGGAGGCCCTGAGCAGCTCAGCAGTTGGGCTGTCTGTCAGAGCCCATTTGTGCATGAACTCATGGATTCTGCAGAGCTGCCTCAATCTCTCCCGAAGGCAGGACTCCTAAAGACACAGGGTCCTCGCACAAGGCCTCACTTCCTAAAGGCTCCACTGTCGCCAGGCTGGGTCTGAGGAGGACCCAGAGGCTGAAGGGTGGTGCCTAACCTGCCACTGTGTAGAGTAAGTTTACAGGTTTCCTGACCCACCTCACAGAGAAAGACTTGCTGGGATGTGTAAGAGGCACAGGCAGAGGTTTTAGGACACATTCGAGAGTGGTATAGATGCTCTCAGAGAAAGGAGATGCATCATTTTCTGGAATCAGAAATATTTATACCCCTCTTAAAGGAATAGAAACCCTGGGAAAAGATGGCCCATTTTCAGGAAAGGTGGCACAGGCATAGTTGTATCCGGTTTTGTTAAGGCCTTTTGTTGTGCTGGTTGTTTTGTAATTTAAGTCTCTGGAGGCTCTCAACCTCCTCCTTGGGAAAAGGCCTCTGCTCTTTATTTTCCCAATGAAGCCTAGTTAGGGACTTGCAGTGTGCCTGAGGAGTTTAGGGCATGATGGGTCTGGTAAGGAAGGAACCTACATTTAACCTCCAAAATACTAATATGGTTCACCTAGTGTCACTAACTTCAGCTGGGTCCTGCAAGTTGAAGTCTTTTCAAAAGTGCAGTTTTTAGTTATGATTTACTTGTGTCTTTTAACCTGTCTTTTATTGCTTTTACCCTATGTCGCCATCTCCCTTTGAGAATCATTTCCAACACACAAAGTTTTGCAGGAATAAACCATATACCAATCACATCAAGCTTCTTCCCTGTGAAAAAA